CATTAACTTTGGAAAATTCTCAGACATTATTACTTAAAATATTTCTTCTCTTTTCTTTTCCTTCTGTTATTCCAATTATGTGTATGTTGCACTTTTTGAAATTGTCCCATGGTTCTTGGATGTCTTATACTGTTTCTTCATTTCTTTTTTTTCTCTTTGCCTTTTGGTTCGGGAAGTTTCTGTTGACTTATCTTCAAGCTTACTGATTCTTTCTTTGGGCAGGTCCAGTCTACTGAATAGCCTATCAAAGGCATACATTTCTCTTATGTATTTTTTATACCTAGCATTTCCTTTTGATTCTTTCTTAGAGTGTCCACCTCTCTGCTTATATTACCCATCTATTCTTGGATGTTTTCTACTTTTTCTGTTACAGCCCTTAACTATTAATCATAGTTATTTAAAATTCCCTGTCTGATTATTCCAACATCTGTGTCAAATATCTGATGCTTGCTGTATGTCTTCAGACTGTGTTTTTTTTCTTGCCTTTTAGCATGCCTTGTAATTCCTTGTTGAAAGTCAGATGTGATGTATCAGATAGTAGGAACTGAGGTCATAGGCCTGTGTGTGAGTTTTTAATTTGGCTGGAAGTTGAGCTGTATTTAATGTTTGCTGTAGTTCTAGGTGCCAGAGGCTTCACATTCCTCTAGTGTCTTTGTCTCCTCTGTTGGCTTAGGCCTCTCTCTTCAGAGAGAGTCTGTATCTTTCAGCTCTTTCAGCTGTGATCCCCTGTAATTACATTGGTGCACTATAGGTGGTGGTAAGGTGAGGGGGAGCGTTCTGTAATCTTTTAAGTCTCAGTCTTTTATGAACCTGTGTCCCTGACTGTGAACTTCACAAAGGTTTCTTAGCTTCTTTTCCCCCTTAGCTAGAGCAGGATAGAGTGGGAGAAATGCCCTTCCCCCAAGTAAGATAAAGCTCTGTTAAAATCTTCACTCCTGGAGAGTCAGTCTTTGGATAGAGTACCCTTTGGTCACAGTTGTTAGTCTTTCCCTCTCCCTGCCAGAACCACAAGGGTATTTTTGTCAGTTCTTCACTGAGAACCTGGTGGGGGTCCCTGGAGGTAAAGCCCATGAAAGTGTGTGGTGCTTCCTTAAAACTGTGGACCTAGGACGTTCTCACTCTCTTGCTTGTCACACTCAGCCTCTAGCAGTTCCTCAAAATTACCATTTAAGTGTTTTCGACTAACAGCTTCTGTTCTAGGTAAGCAGATCTCAACTTCGACTTTATGGATTTGCCTTTGTGTCCTGATTTTGGAGTGAAAGTTTGTCCTGTGACCTCAGTTCTCTCACAGGTCCAAGAAAATTCACTGATTCTTAGTTTTTCAACTTTTTCTTGTTGTAACAATGGTAGTTATGACTTCCAAGCTTTTTCCATGTTGGAGCTGAAGTTACAGTAGTTTTCCACATGGAACAGACCTACTCATTCTTATTTTATGAGGATATTTATGTGAATTTTGCCATTTAGAATAAAATCTAAAATCATAATAAAAACCCAATTTATTGCTTATATTTGGGAATCAGATTTAGGTTTTATTAATTAACACATTTATGGAATTAATAAGTTACCTATCCCCAGGAATTTGAGAGGAAATCACAGAGGTCTTAATTAACAATATATGTGTCTTTTACAGCTTTCTTAGTTCTGCTAGATGTCAAATTAACTTGAGTATTTTATCATATTACCTAAGTGTTTTAAACTCTTATTAATTTATATTGGAAATTTCCTGTATTGAAAAAAAAAGCACCTTGACTTTAAAAAATATTTTAGAATAAATGAGAGCATATTGCCTAATGTAAGATTGAGATAAGAGTTAAGTAATAAAATGTACTGAAAACAATAGTTAAGTATTGCATTTCAGATTTTATCTCATTCTAGTAGATAAATACTTCCCTAGCATTACTACATTTTAAAAGCAGGACAGTGATGTAAGTCAGACAGAGAAAGACAAATAACATATAATCTCACATATACGTGAAATATAAAAATCAAAACAAAACCTGAACTCATAAATACAGAAAACAGATTGGTGGTTGCCAGAGGTGGGGGGCAGGGTGGTGTGTGGGTGAAATGGGTGAAGGTGGTCAAAAGGTACAAACTTTTGGTTATAACTAAGTCCTGGGGATGTAATGTACAGCATGGTGACTACAGTTAATAATACCGTATTGTATATTTGAAAGTTCCTGAGAGAGTAGATGTTAAAAGTTCTCATCACACGAAAAAAACATTTGTAACTGTGTGGTGAAGGATATTAACTAGACTTATTGTGGTGATCATTTTGAAATATATACAAATATTGAATCATTATATTGTGTACCTGAAACTAATATAACGTGTATGTCAATTATATCTCAATTAAAAAAAACAGCTGGACAAATATTGTCAGTTGGTTTTTTATTCACTAAAATTTTAATTCTTGGTAGCTTCTTAGGCCTAGAATTTTGTTATCTTTGTCTACTATATTAGCAGTCTTTTTTGCTTTATAGTTTATTTATAGGTTTACCTGAAGTAATATTTGGCATATTTTCTTCTTGCTAAGAACCATAACTGGTGTAAAGTTGGTGTTCTAATATATATTTATTCAAAAGGCTGTGCTTATCATTGAATTTTCTTCTCTGTTTTGTTTGGAGTAGGAAATGACTGGTCTTGAGATAATGATAAATTGAAATCATTTTTGACCTATTTATAGCTTAAAAATTTTTACCCTATGCCTGTATTTTGGTATTTTGTATCTTCAGCATGAAATAATAACCTCAGAATTATTGAGGAAAGCATTGAAATTCAACTTTTGTATTATTGGAATTTTTAAAAATGCTAATAAATTTTTTTTTCCCTCCTCTGGAAAGAAATAGACTCTGATTTTTTTTAGTAGAGTTTTTTTTAACCATATTTTTTACTTTTACTTATGTTTTTCTTGCTTGTTCTATTCTCATACCATCTCCTTCTACTTTTTTTCGTTCTTTTCTCCTTGACTCTTCTTTCCCTTTAGCATCCTGAAATAGTGTTAAGCCACCCATCCAAGCCAGTCAGTGACCTGACAAAGTGGTGCCATAAAGTCCTTGTTGATGTTTTTTCTGTATTTGGCACAAGTGATTTTTTACTGCCCTATAGAAAAGTGAATACACTTGACCTTCTCATCTCTCCTTTCCTTGAATAGGAACTCTAGAGTTTTTCTTTTTTAATGATTCTTTTCTAAAGTATCTTGAGGTAGATACAAAGTGGGAAAGTTTCTGTGAGACCAAAATTCTCCCCCAAACTTTGGTAAATGTTCGCATTTCTGTCGCTTTTGCTTTGTTTTATGCGTAGTGAGTTAATTCACTCAGGGCTGCCTCTCTTTCCCCTTGCTTTTACTTTGTTGTGGCTTTTAACTACACCACTTAAGGGCAGAATTTTGCTAACACATTAAAATACGTCTGCCAATAGAATCTCCTTTAAAGGCGACTGTTAGTAATTGTGAATTTTCACAACTGATTAAACCTGTCACAAAAGATATTGGTAAAGGACTTAATCTTAAAAGTACAGCTGTTGCTTTGACAAAGGGTTTAGCCCATTTTATAGAAACATTTGTCTTTTACTCAAGGTATTTTGCCTCAGAGCTTTCCAAAGTATTTCCTAAGAATATATATTTACCCCTTTAATATTTTTTCAAACCATTTTAAGGGACTAAGTGTGTTTTGTTGTCTGTTGAATAAGGGAAAATAAAATATCTTAACCTTTACCTTCTGATTAAATACATTATACGCGCATGGCTTTAGAGATTCAGGAGGAAAATTGAAGACTTGAAAATTGGTTTTTATTTATTGAAACTGCTTTGTATTCTAAAACACATTGAAGGTGTTCGTTGCCATTGCAACAGGATCCTGAATAAAAAATCGTTTCTCGGTTCTAAATGTGATTGTTGATTTCTGACCTCGTCTTGTGTTATCTTGAACAATTCTGAATCCTTGCCTTAGGAAGGTACCTATGTGGTGATAGCCATTTTCTTAACCTAAGTCCATTGTTATGGCATCACGCTTGCAGTATCTACAGTCATACGCCACAGCGCCGCATAATGCTGTTTCAGTTGACAGACCACGTGTACAGTGGTAGTCCCCTAAGATTAGTACCATATAGCCTAGGTTTGTAGTAGGCTATACCATCTAGGTTTGTGTAGGTACACTCTGTGATGTTCACAGAATGACAAAAGCACCTGACGACAAATTTCTCAGAATGTATCCCTGTCACTGAGTGATGCATGACTGTATATGATTCTAGGTGCTCAAGGCCATATGATTCATACATGCTTGGTAAAGCAGTATATAGGAGAAGGGAAGGGAAGTAAGGCTCAAGTGGAAATTAGATCTCAGCATTGGTACTGGCTATGGTAAGATCAGCAGTAAATCTCTGGTGATGCCTTTTTTGTGTGTGTGTGTGGAAGATTAGCCCTGAACTAACATCTGTTGCCAATCCTCCTCTTTTTGCTGAGGAAGATTGGCCCTGGGCTAACATCCGTGCCCATCTTCCTCTACTTTATATGGGACGCCACCACAGCATGGCTTGATAAGCGGTGCGTCGGTCTGTGCCCAGGATCCGAGCCTGTGAACCCTGGGCCACCGAAGTGGAGTGTGTGAACCTAACCGCTACGCCACTGGGCTGCCCCCTGATGTTGCCTTCTGACATTATCTTGGAGAGATCAATAGTAGTCTGATGGCTTGTTAGTACATCTCACTAGACTCTGAAGCATCTCTTGGCTTATGATGGTTTTGGGCCTAATAAATATTCAGAGATGTACTATTTTAAAATAACTAATTCATTCAGGATCTAAGATAATTATTTCTTCATTTATTACTAATATTTTGTCTATGTAGTATTTAAACAGAGAAAAACCTTATAAATTGAAGACTAGCTTATTAGATTTTTGATAATACTCTATTTAAATTGGAATATATATAGTTCTTTGGGACGTGGTTTGCCTTCTGCCATTGTATGTTTATCTGATAGAATTTGAACACTTTTCTTTATAGGCACATGAGGCAACATTGGAAGCCAGAGCCAGTCCAGAGATGAGTGACCGAATACAGCAATTGGAGAGAGAGATTGCCAGGTACAAAGATGAATCTAGCAAGGCCCAGGCAGAAGTTGACCGCCTTTTGGAAATCTTGAAGGAGGTGGAAAATGAGAAGAATGATAAAGATAAGAAGATCGCTGAGTTGGAAAGGTAGGGAAAGGGAAGCTGAATGGGCACTATGTTAGAAATGTTAAAGTTATGGTTTTAAAACTATGTATTTTGGGGGGCATACTCTTTCAATATATCTGCTTCTTTGAATTTAGATTCTTGAGTGGTTGATGTTACTTTATTATCTACTTGCTATTCTTTTTTTTTTTTTTTTTGTGAGGAGGATGGGCCCTGAGCTAACATCTGCCAATACCTCCTCTTTTTGCTGAGGAAGACTGGCCCTGGACTAACATCCATGCCCATCTTTCTCCACTTTAAATGGGATACCACCACAGCATGGCTTGACAAGCAGCGCGTTGGTGCGTGCCCGGGATCCGAACCGGCGAACCCCTGGCCGCTGCAGCGGAACATGTGCACTTAACCACTTGCGCCACCAGGCTGGCCCCATCTACTTGTTATCCTGAGTCAGTGTAATTTCATTGTTGCAGTCTCTAAAAGGCAACACAGAATGGGAATAAATTGGGCAACTATGGACTTCAGCATCATTGATTGGAAAGACAGAAAGTATTCATTGATTAAGAAACTAAAGTTTTCTACCAGCTAATCAAGAGAGTACAAATAGCTGCTTGCTCTTTATTTATCTGTCTATCTAAAGAGCAAATGAGCCCCAAGTTCAAGGAATTAATATTTTTTCATAGGTTTAGTCTTTTTTTGTTGAGCTCATACTCTTTTGGATTATGAATTTTTAGACTTTTCACAGTTTGTATTGTAGAGAAGCAGGCTATTACATCAGTGCATAGGTCAAATTTAGAAGGTCGAGGGACATTTTGAGGACAATTTAGGAGACTTGGATTTGATTTTTACGGAGCTCTGACTTTGAATTCATCTAAATGAGCTGCGTTTGAACAGATCCAGTCAGACAGCTCTCTTGGAATTTTCTTTGTCCTCTTTTTTCTTATTAGGATGTTTTATACTGAAGATTGAGCATATGCCTCTTGACCTCTTCTTTTACACCATATATTTAACGTAAATTCACAGATGCATAGAAACAGTTCTTCAGTAGAACTTCATTAATCACCTGTATTCTGAACAGTCAGAGAGACTGTCAGTGACAGAATGAAGTCACTAATCTTGGTGGCTCCATGGGGCCTGATTCTTAGGAATATTTTATTTTCATGCTCTTGAAAGTAGGGAAGTATTAGACTCCTTTCATAAGTTTATTAAGTTTTAAATTTGGGGACTACTTGAATTTAAGACTTGATATTTTCCCCTAGAAGGTTTCTTTTCTCCTATTCTGTACCCATAGAATTTTGATTTTCAAGAAACTAAAACAATGAAGTCCAACCCTAACAATTCTCCTTCCCTGTATTGAAAGTGTGAATAACATGGGCTGCTTACCTACTCGTTTCCTCTTGTTTTGATATTAACTCTATTTATAGTTTCTGGTTCTGGATAAGATGAACAGATAAAATTCTTTGTCAGAATTAACAAACTACCAGAACCTCAAGATTAGATTATGTGCATTTTTTTATGTCTTCATCCATATTTACACTGCATTACTCCCCCCCGAACACACACACACACCCCCCCCACACCCCTACACACCTTACATACTTGCATGAATACATGCCTCTCTTTGCTTTTGTGTTGGCCTGACATCAGCAGCAGTAGTGCCTAGATTTTAAAATACAATACTTTTGATGGATTAATGACTTCCAACTAAATATATTTCAATATTTCAGAAAAGAAATTCCTTGATAAAGTTTCATTTTTCAGTTTGATTTCTTATATTAGAAATCTACATTGAAATTATTGCTTTGCTATTCCAGACGGCTTGCTTGAAAACATTTTGATTCATTTTTGGAGCTAATACTGATTTGGGGAGATGGACAAGATTTAAATGAGAGTTAAGAAATAGGATTAAATCGATATTTGATATCCAAAGCACACCAAATAGCTTTTATTAGCCACTATTTTTTCGTATTTTGAGAAAGAGTTGTAAATGATATACTCTTTGCACAGAATATAGTTTATAAGGTTGAAAAAGCGCTGTCCAGGTTTGTTCTCTGGTCGTGCAGCACTGTAATTTTGTTTTAGGATTTGAGACAAAGTTTCTTGGTTACCAAAGAACGAAACAGTTTTTAAAATTCCGTTTTTGCCACTGGCTTTGTAGTTTGTTACTGAGCAACATAGTTTAAAATAAGAATAAATAGTCAAAAATAGTTAGGATTATATTATGCCTTTTGTTCCCAGATTTAGTACTGAGGTGCATGTGTGTGGCTGCTGTGTTTCTTACTAACCATTTGCTTCTTGTGTTGCCATTCCACTATTTCCTATGTGTGGGTGTCTGTCTCCCTGTAATTTATCGTTTGCGTTTCTTCACTTTTCTTTTGATTTGTCTTATCATGGTCCTATTCCATTGGGGTTTTGGTCTCTTTGTGTTCATATGTGTGTTCCCTCTTGGCCATGCTGTTTCTCAGAAAGTCAGTCTCCCGCAGTTTGTACCTTCCACGCCAGGTTTCTGTCCCTGCACCGTCAGGGGGGTTTGTTTGGGACTTCCTGGGAAAGTGAGTGTTCCGTAAGGCTACACTTCTGTACTAGACTGAATTGCTGTTGCTGCTCTTGCTACTGCTGGGGCTTGCTGGGAATTTTGCTTGATCAGAATTAAAGAACAGCCATTTATATATCAAGTTGAATTGTCCCTCTTAGGTACATTGCTTGTGGATAAAGTGTGTATTCTCTCTGGTAAGGTTCTGATATTGTTTATAATTGTCTTAGTCTTTGTTTCTAGCCCATCTTTTATGTGATTGTTTTTGTGCTGGAATGCCCTTTAAGTAGTAGCCCCTTAACTGAGGCAACTGTAGTGCTCCACTGTAATTCAGGATGTAGAATTCATTTCTAAAAAGTGTTCAGCAAGCTTCTAATTGCAAAAATAAAAGCAGACTGTTATAATCATTGAACTAAAGAAAATTCTTAGCATTCTTTTCAAGTTTCCTAGTATTTATGTAAGGATCTCCAGTATTAAAAGGTTTATATTAAATCATGAAGAATTCCTAGACCTATTTTTGTGGTCTTGAGGAAAACAAATATTCCCTTACATTACTCTCACAGAACAACAGTAGTTTCTGTTAGGAGATGATTTAGTGTTGTACCACTGTCTTGACCTACTGCGGTTTTAAAAAGAGGATTATGTCTGCTCACCCATACATCTGCAAATATGAAATATTTTCTCCAATTAAGTTTAAGAAGTATTACTTCTAAAATCATATTCCATACTGTGGTGTATATGAGTGAGAGTTCAACCAAAGAGGCAGAACCAGTAGAAGATATATATACATATAAACAGATTTATTACAAGGGATTGTCTTGCATGATTGTGGGGGGCTGGCTAAGCAAGTCTGAAATCTGTATGGTAAGCTGTCAGGAAGAGATCACCAGCAGGGTAGAATTCCTGTGGGCACAGGCCAAAACTGGTCCACAGGCAGAATTTCTTTTCTTTCCTGGGGAAACCTAAGCCCTGCTTTTAGTGCCTTCCAAAGGATTCACTTATGCCCACTCTGATTATCCAGGATAATCTCCTTTACTTAAATGGATTAGAGGCTTAATTGTATCTGCAAAATACCTTCATAGCAACATCTAGACTAGCGTTTTGATTAAATAACTGGGAACTATAGCCTATTGAAGGTAACACTTCAAGAAAGTCATCACCTGGTAGTTCTGGATAGTCTTTATAGGTCAATTTAAGGAAATAAAACAAAACAAAAACAAAACTAGAGCTTGGAATGTCCTTTTATAAGTCTGTAGATGGGTTTAGATTAGCCTCAGGAACTGAATGTAGTTGAAATTTCTCTTCTAAAGTGAGCATATTAGAGTTTCTATTTAGATTCATAATGAATAGCTTTTCTTTGGCATAATGTTTAAAATATTTAGTAATGTAGGCTGATAGAATTCTGATATTAGTATCTTTTCAGACTCCTGAAAGAATTGTTAATTGTCTTCTCTTTCACTAATGCCGTTCCTTTTAGCCAGATATTCCTGTCATGGCAGTATGCTGGAAACATTATCTCCCATGCCATGTGTTGTGTTTGCTTCATAAATTTTGCTTTTGTATTTGCTTTATTACCTTTTTTCTAGTACAGAAATACTAATGAATCTGCAGAATTTGGTGTTTGCAGCAGAAATCCTCGGGTCATTCTAATATGAAGTTCATTTAGATTGGATTCAACATACCATTTAGAAACTTTTATAGTGTTTAGCGAATGGCAGCCATCTTCTGATTTTCATATAATTTAGGTATCAAGGATTGTCTTTGATTTATCAAAGTTAGGAATTTTTAGTGATCAAAAGAATAATAGAATCTATTATTGTGTAACCTAAATAATGAATAGAAAATGTGGATTTACTATATTTCCTGATTTGGAGAATATAAAACTGGGATTTTCATGGATGTAGATTTCATTTTGGGGTGTGTTTTGCAATTTAGCAGAGGAATTAAAAGATGAGAAGAAAGGACATACCTTCTTATAAACCTTTAATCTTTAACAACCTTGTAGTTTTTTTTATTCCTTATTCCTTTTGCCTGGTTACTCTCCCTTTAAATATGTGTCTCTAAAAATACCCTTGTTAATAGGATTTATAGTTATCAGGCTCTTGAAATAATATCCAATCTGTGAGTTTGGTTTTTCTCTCCACAACCTACTCTCCTCTCTGCCACAAAATATACCCTTTCCTTCTTCATTACTTGGTGAATTAATTTTTTTACTTATGGAGGCTCTTATTTGCTGGTTACTGTTCTGGGCTCTGGACACACCAGGGAACAAAACAGATAAAATCTCTGCCTTCATAGGGCTTATAATCTAGTTGGGAGGAGATGGACAATAGAAACTAAAGATGTAAATGTCAAGTGGTGATGAATACCATGGAAAATATAAAGCAGAGTAAGCAGGATAAGAGGGTGTGAGAATGTGACTGGTTGCTATATTTTTGGGGTGGTCAGGAAAGATCTTCTGATAATGTGATTGAGCAGACACTTCAAGGAGAGG